CCGTATTAGCAACATGAACTGTTTCAAGTAACCCACGCTCCTGAACATGCTCATCTTCAACAATGTCTTTAATATTATATATGTAGCTACATGGTACCTCAGCCTTCTCTAATTTTTCTACCACTTCTTTGGATGTCCAAGCACGTGTCCAATCTGAAATTGCATTATTGATCATTTCTCCATGTTTTAAACGTTCTTTATTGGTTTCATATTCTGCGGTGGTGAGATCTTTCCTTCCGACAACTTTCATCAGTCGTTTATATATTGCATCTCCGTTTCCACTAATGATTACATACTTAGAATCTGCGCACAGATACGCGTTTGTAGGTACGATACCGGTCACAGAAGTACCAGAACGTTGCCTTATCTATAGTGAAATTAAATCTTTTATATGTATCAAACATATAGTATAAACATGATATTTTCAAAAACGTACTTCTCCAAATCTATCATATTCTGGCAGAATGCCCTCCATCATATTAAACATGCTTTCATAAATGGCTACATCAATCACCTGTCCAGTTTTGGAGCTGGAAGTAATTTTATTCCTGGCTAAAAGTCCCATAACAGTTCTAAATGCTGCAGTTAACCCAGTAACTGAATCTCCCAAAGATATGTTTTGGCGAACCGGTGGCATATCTGGAAAACCGGTTATATATCGAAATCCTGCCATCGCCTTAGTATTACGTTTAATATTAATTCGAGAGAATTAATTACATATTATGAGATACATATTATGAAATCGTGTAGATAATTTAAATCTATTTACCTTGCATACAGACGCGAAACCTGGTTTTGATGCATAAGGACCGGTTTGTCCAAACCCAGAAACGCGTGTATATATTAACGAAGGATTTGTCTTGTAAAGTTCATCTTTATAAGGATAATTAAAAGCTATTATATTCAGAATTTCGGGTTATATTTGTAACGACCATTTAATGCTTACCAGGTCCAAGTCCCCACTTTTCCATCGTACCAGGACGAAAGTTTTCAATTAAAACATCACATTTGTCAGCCAACTGGCGAACGAGTCTATTTAATTATAGCGAGCAAGAATTATACCATGAAAAATTACTTATCAATATTGATCTGTTGATCGATTAAATACTGAATACTAGATGAACTTTACTTTCTTCCACCTTCTGTTCGCAAATTTATCTCACATGACTTTTTATTTCTGCCCATTGAGCGAAACCATGGGCCAACACCATCGAAATCTATTGTTCGCCAATTACGAAGTGGATCGCCTGTTCCTGGTGATTCAATTTTGATCTTGAATATAATAGTAATCATTCAGCAATGATTATCTTTTTTTATTATTCAAGATTCATGATAAGTCAAATGCCATTACGTACGTACCACTTCTGCGCCAAAATAACTTTTTTATGCATAAATTTATTATTAAATATATATGAAATTGGCCAATATAATTTAATTGTACTTACCCAAGGATTGTTCCACAAAACGGTCCAGCAATCAGCTTTCATAATACGAATGAAATAAAATGACAATAAATTTTACAATAATTTTTACACAAGGAGTAAAACATGTATGAATTAATATCATATTATCACACCTGTCCCAATTCTAAAACATGAATACCATCCAATGGTCCTTTTATATCTGAAGTTTGCGAATTCAAGCGTTTTTGAGGGACTAAGACCAACGATATATATATATATTAGTAAAAATAATGATTGTTGGGAATAAATCAATGTTTTCTTAAAAAAAAAAATTACATCTAAAACCAGGTCCATTTCTTTTTATGGCCTTCTTGAAATATATAAGTGAATTGATATTGCGAAACATTTTTTTAATCAAGAACAGATAGATTTCATGTTATATATATGTATTTTTTTTTCGAAAAATTCATAATTGGCTTTGGATCTGTAGGTAGCTGTCCCACAAAGTTTTTTCCACCCCCTGAAATTTTGACCAATCGAAATTTAAACGTGATAGTCAAAACAAATTTGGTTTAAAAAAACGCTATTAGTAGATTTTAGGTAACGAACGTGATAGTCAAAACAAATTTGCTTTGTTTTCTAAGTAAAAAAACGCGTGCAAAATTAAATCTAAGAAAACCGCGTTATAGTTAGGATTATAGTTAGAAAAATATGTCGGCTATTAGTAGAATTTCACGAGGAATATTTTTAATTAGGCCGCAGAAGGTGGTTTCCTAATAAAAATTTAGAGTTATTCCTGTTTTTTTGTAAAAAAGTGGTCCGTTGCAATTTTTACGTTACACCTGATCTTAAAATTCGATTGGTCAAAATTACAGGGGGTGGAAAAAATTTTGTGGGACAGTAGGGGCTTTTGAAAATGGTAAAAATTAACAATCATGTGAAATATGCTGCAAAGAAGTTAGAACCGGATTGCAAATTGTCTCTCCGGATAT